CCACCTCCTGGGTTCAAGTGATTCTCCTGCCTCAGCCTCCCAAGTAGCTGGGACCTACAGGCGCCCCTGCCACCACGCCTGGCTAATTTTTGTATTTTTGGTAGAGATGGGGTTTTACTATGTTGGCCAGGCTGGTCTCAAACTCCTGACCTCAAGTGATCCGCCCGCCTCGGCCTCCCAAAATGCTGGGATTACAGGCGTGAGCCCCCTGCACCCAGCCAGGAATGTCCATATTTAGGTTCTCTCAGTGGTTGACACTGTGTACCTCATAAGTGAGAATGTCTAGCCTGTCATTTCTGAGCAGGAAGGAGACATAGGTGATGATTAGAGGCTTCTCTTTTTCCACCTTAGTGTCCACATAAATTCCTTTTAAAAGATGTAGCAGAAGTGTTTCGATCATTGTACTTATAAGGGGTCGGCACGTGGTTGTATACATATCTAGTCACGCCTTTAGGAGGCTTGAGGTGGGAGGATCTTTTGAGACAGGAGCTGCTGGGAACACGTGGAACGCTCCCATCTCTATTCAAACAAAAAAAAAATTGAGCCAGTTGTAGTGTGCCACACTCGTAGTCCCGCTACCTGGGAGCTGAGGGGGGAGGACTTGCTTGAGTCCAGAGAGGGTCGAGGCTGCAGTGAGCTGTCGCAGCTCCTCGCTCGCCTGAATGACAGAGTGAGACCCTGTCTCAAAAAAACAAACCAATGAAACAAACAAACAAAAAAAAACTGTACTTTAAAAATTGGAGTTTGCCGTGATTGACACATCAAAAGTCTGTTAATTGAATCAGGCCCACAGAAGTCATGTTCCTCTTTTTCTTTTTGTTTTGAGACAGAGTCTCACTCTGTCACCCAGGCTGGAGTACAGTGGTGCAATCTCGGCTCACTGCAAGCTCCGCCTACCAGGTTCACGCCATTCTCCTGCCTCAGCCTCTTGAGTAGCTGGGACTACAGGCGCCCGCCACCACGTCCAGCTGATTTTTTGTATTTTAAGTAGAGATGGGGTTTCATCGTGTTAGCCAGGATGGTCTTGATCTTCTGCCCTCGTGATCCGCCCGCATCCAAAAGTGCTGAGATTACAGGCGTGAGCCACCACACCCAGCCCATGTACTCTCTTCTTTATGATTCTTGCTGGATGATGTCTAGTGGCTATTATTCTAATTTTTCTAACCTTGGCTATGATCATTTCCTTCTACACCCTTTTGGTTTTAGAGAGCAGACTAACCCAGCTCTTCATACTTTCTGCAGGGGACAGGCAAATGGTATGAATTACAAGACCTCCAGGTGACTGACATCCTTCCCCAGATGATCACACTGTCAGAGGCTTACATTCAGGTGGGTTGGCCACAGGCTTAGTGAGCCACAAATAGGTGGGGTATGGGGCCAGTGAGAGGAGTGGGCCAAGGCAGGAAGAAGGATAGAGTTAGGACCTTGGTTGGAGGGCCAGGTACCTGTTGGGAAGTACTTAGTGAGTTGGGGCCAGAATATATGGCCCTGAAAGTCAAGCAGAGATTTTCAGAAAATAGTTATAAGAAAATGTATGAGTGAGCAAAGAAAGTTGTGATTATGGCTAGATTAGTTTTGCAGAAGTGTGCGGTCTAGTTTCAAGGAGGAAGGGAGGCTGGCTAGAAGTCGACCGTGAAGTACTCCCCAAGAGCCCCAGGCAGAGCTCTCTTTGTGACCCCACAGCACTTTCTGCTTGCCTTTTGTTTTAGTGCTGACCATATTGCTTTGCCTGTCTGTCCTCCATTGGATTGACCCGTGGAGCACAGAGCATCTCTGTCTTCTCTTTATGTAACTGCCCTAGTACCTGACAAAAGAAGGAAGATTGAGACAAAAGCCATAGCTTTGTAAGAAGAAAGTGATACCTCTCCTAGAGATAACTGTTTCTTCCCTTCAGTGACTGTAGCCACTGTAGCAGATTTCCAGATGGAGTATAGCAGGTTTGTAAATGGCATGACGAGTTATCCATGGCCTGGCACAGAATAGGTATTTGACAAGTATCTGTTGACTGAATGCCTCCTAGACTTCAGTTTGTGTTTTCATTTCTTACAGATTTGGAAGAGGCGAGATAATGATGAAACCAACCAGCAGGGGGCTTGAAGGAGGCGTCTAGGGCTTTGCTTCCGAGGGCTGTGGCTGATGATGGTAAATAAGAACACAGAAGCTGTAGCTGTTCAGCTACAGGCTGACTGGGGGCCTCCCTGGGCCAGCCCAGCTTGTATGGATTCTGGCTACACCAGAGCACCAGGAGCCCACTTGCCTGGGATGGCCCCACACTGTCACCCAGCTGTTCTTTGATCATTTTTTTCTAGATTGATGCTCCTTTCTCCCATGCATTGAGCTCCCTTCTAGCTTCAGCAGGGCAGAACCCTTCTCCAGATGTGTGTAACTTATGTCTGAGTATCTGGGAGTAGCTGAAGAACAGATAATTTCTTCCAAACATCAAGCCTTGGGATTCTTGGAGCAAGCAGAAAGCCAGTAACCTCACTCTTGTCTGTTAGAAGTGGAGGATTTTCCTATGGTTCCCCTCATTTCCTGATGTGTATTTTTAGATGGATTAAATATTCTCCTGTTTTTAAACTAGCCTCTTGTTTTATATCTTTTCCTTTGGTGGTTAGCTGAGGAAAATATTTTCCTTTTTAATCTTCACAAACTACCCTACAGTCTGACATCTGGCAGACACCACACTTGTCCTTTCCTGTCAGCTTGTGGGTGGTGTGTCAGTTAGGATGCATTTGTTTCTAAGTAAAAAAATGCTTGAGTCAAGGGGATACATTATTATTGTGCTTAACTAGAAGGCCAGAGGTGGGCAGTCTCCGGCCGCAGTGCAAGAATGAGTAAGGGAAGAGGAAAGAAAGGAAATAGGAAGTTCTTCTCACTACAGTGCAATTCTGAGAAAGTCTCAACCAGGCCAGTGTGGAGCCCCAGGGCAAAGATTCCCTGTCAGACAATTCATCAGCTCTGTAGTGGGCTCTAGCAGCCTAGAAGAAGGGTGACCTTGGCATGAGCACTGTGGCAGGTCCAAAGATGTGGGAAGCAGCTGGAGGCAGCCAGTCAGCCTCAGCAAGTTCTCTTGAAGGGAGACAGGAGCCGTGCACTCCTGTGGTGCCACCCTTTACCTGGACACAACCCTGTCCTCACTTTCCTCTACCTCTCTGGAAGCTCCAGTATTTCCTTTGCAAGCTTATCTCTTTTATCCAGCTATTACATGTTGAGATTTCTCAAGATTCAGTCCTAGCATCAGTCTTCTTGCTGTTTACTTTTTCCCTAGGCCATTTTGGCTATGCCTAGGGCTTCACTTACCTTTTTTATGGAAATGACTCATAAACACATCTTAATCCCAGATTTCTGTAAACTCTTGAACTTCACTCTGTTGCCCAGGCTGGAGTGCAGTGGCACTCAGCTCACTGCAACCTCCACCTCCCAGGTTCAAGTGATTTCCGGCTAATTTTTATATTTTTATTTTTATTTTATTTTATTTTTGAGATGGAGTCTTGCTCCTTCTCCCAGGATAGAGTGCAGTGGCGCGATCTCAGCTCACTGCAACCTCTGCCTCCTGGGTTCAAGTGTTTCTCCTGCCTCAGCTTCCTGAGTAGCTGGGATCACAGGCGCCCACCACCGTGCCCAGCTAATTTTTGTATTTTTAGTAGAGACGGGGTTTCATCATGTTGGCCAGGCTGGTCTCGAACTCCTGACCTCGTGATCCACCCCTGTCAGCCTCCCAAAGTGCTGGGATTACAGATGTGAGCTACCACGTGCAGCCAATTTTTAAAAAATTTTTAGTAGAGATAGGGTTTCACCATGTTGGCCAGACTGGTCTCGAACTCCTGACCTCAAGTGATTTGCGTGCCTCAGCCTCCCAGAGTGTTGGGATTACAGGCATGAGTTATGGTGCCCAGCCCTATTTTGGAGTGTTTTAAAGTAAACTCAAACTTAACATTGTTCAGAACTGAGCTTGCAAGGTGTGGCTTCTGCCTGTAATCCTAGCACTTTGGGAGGCTGAGGTGGAAGAATTGTTTGTTACCAGGAGTTCAAGACTAGCCTGGCCAACATAGTGATACCCCATCTCTAACAACAACAAAAGTTAGCTGGGCATGGTGGTGTGTGCCTGTAGTTCCACCTACTTGGGAGGCTGAGGCAGGAAGATCCTTTGAGCGCAAGATTTGAGGCTGCAGTGAACCGTGGTTGCACCACTGCACTCCAGCCTGGGCAACAGAGCAAGACCTTGTCATTACAAAAAAGAAAAAAGTTAAGCTTGTGAGTTTCTCCCCCCCCCCCCTTTTTTTTTTTTGAGATGGAGTCTCACTCTGTTGCCCAGGCTGGAGTGCAGTGGTGCGATCTTGACTCACTGCCGACCTCTGCCTCCCGGGCTCGAGTGATTCTCCTGCCACAGCCTCCCAAGTAGGTGGGACTACAGGTGTGTGCCCCACACCTGGCTGATTTTTGTACTTTTAGTAGAGATGGGGTTTCACCATGTTGGTCAGGCTGGTCTCGAACTCCTGACCTCAGGAGATCCGCTGACCTCGGCCTCCCAAAGTGTTGGGATTACAGGCATGAGCCACTGTGCCCAGCCATGAGTTTACCTTTAAACTTGACTATTTTTAAGATTATACTATCTTGAAGATTATACTATCCAGTTACAGAAATTCATGTATTATAATCAGGGAAAGTTTAATTTCAGTAATTATTAACTACAACAGTGGTTTGTAGTTGACAGGGGATTAGTTAGTAACAAGTAAAGAATGTAGAAATAACAGATACAAAGAGCTGCCACTACCTCTGGGGCTGACAGTGTCCAAAGCTGAGATCCAGACCTTGCTAAAAGTATGCTCTTTGAGCCTCATTAAAAATCTGCTTTGTAGTGTGCTTGGGAAAGCCATTCATAGGTGTCTCCCTGGAGGCCTCTGCTACAAAACTGTCCAGGGAGGAGAGAGTGCCAGCTGAAGCTACTGGGTGCCCGTGCTGTCCAAATGTATATGTTTTCTCCAAAAGCCAAGAAAGACCTATCAAACATTGTGCGCGTGTGTGTGTGTGTGAGGTGGTATGAGGTACAGCCACCTGTCTTACTTCGGAGAGAATATTTTGACATAACTCTATACTGTTGACTTCCCAGAAATGTCCCTGAGGTGGCAGGCCCCTGAATTGTTTTTGGGTTTAACTCCCAACTTCTTATTTATGTCTTACTAAGGCATTTAAAGCGCTTGGTACTTTCTGCTCATTGGATCCAACAGCGTAGTGTCATCACTGTAGTGGACTAGTGTGATATTTTGTGGATTGCCAAGATGATCAAGATCTCTGTGAACTGTATTATGCTAGAGAGCAGAACTGACATAGTCCTGAGGTAACACTGGGAAGGTATACTGTTGGCCCTGCCAGATAAAAGCAAACGACTTCTGGTGATCCTTATAAATTGATATGGAGAAATACCAATTTGATTCTAATTTAGTAGCTACATACCAAGTGCCAAGAGCTGTTCTTTATCAATAAAGATGCTACATCTGGCCCTGGGCGTGGTACCTTACAGATGTAATCCCAGCAGCTTGGGAAGCCAAGGCAGGAGGATTGCTTGAACCCAGGAGTTCAAGACCAGCCTGGGCAACAAAGTGAGACCCCATCCCTACAGAAAAAATTAGCTGGGCATGGTGGCATGCACCTGTGGTCCGAGCTACGTGGGAGACAGGAGGATCACTTGAGTCAAGGCTGCAGTGAGCTGAGTTGGAGCTCTGGGTGACAGAGCAAGGCACTATCTCAAAAAAAAAAAAAAAAAGGATACATCTGGGACAGCAGCTTCGGTTGGAGTCACTCTGATTAAGTTTACGATAGTCCACAGTCATTCTCCAAGATCCATCAGACTTCTGCACAGGCCCTTTGCCACTCTTATTTTAGTCTAAGCTATTGCCAGTTTCTGTTTGCAGTGGTCTCAATAGGTCTCTCTACATTTTTTTGCCTCCTACCCCCAGTTTATCCATGCTTTAGTCAGAGTAATCTTTTAAAACACAAACCTGAGTCATTTCTCCCCCATACTCTGATCTCATGCTTAAAGACACTTCATTGGCTCTTAGGATAGCAAGTGAAATCCTCAGCTGCTAGCCTAATTTATCAGGAAGTTTCTACCTTTTTTTTTTTTTTTTTGAGACAGGGTCTGGCACTGTCGCCCAGGCTGGAGTGTAGTGGCATGATCTTGGCTCACTGCAACCTCCGCCTCCTGGGCTCAAGCCATCCTCCCACCTCAGCCTCCTGAGTAGCTGGGCCCACAGGCTTGCACCACTACACTACACTGGGCTAGTTGTTTTGATTTTTTTGTAGAGATGGTATTTCACCATGTTTCCTAGGCTGGCCTCAAACTTGTGAGCTCAAGTGGTCTGCCTGCCTCGGCCTCCTGAAGTATTGGGATTATAGGCGTGAGCCACCGCGCCCGGCTCCCTGCTTGTTCTTGACCCCAGGCTCACTGAGCTTCATTCTATTGCTCAGATGTGCCACATGACACGAGGCCTCTATACCATCTGCTTCCTCTGTGAGGGACGCTCCTTCTTTCCCTTTTAATTCTTTCGCCTCCATGACCTCTCATACCCTTAATACCCTGTATATCTCTAATTGATGACCCTTATTGCACCTGAAAAATTTGTTTTTTCTGTGATTCTTTGATTAAGGCCTGTTTTTCCAACTAAACTCTCAAGTTACAAAGGATAGATAGAAACTTTTGTGCCCAGCCCTAGGGAAATGCTTGGCACTTGGAAGTCAATCACCCATATTTTATTTATTTATTTATTTTTTGAGATGGAGTTTTGCTCTTGTTACCCAGGCTGGAGTGCAATGGCACAATCTCGATTCACCACAACCCCCGCCTCCTGGGTTCAAGCAATTCTCCTGCCTCAGTTTCCCAGGTAGCTGGATTACAGGCATGCGCCACCATGCCTGGCTAATTTTGTGTTTTTAGTAGAGATGGGGTTTCTCCATGTTGGTCAGGCTGGTCTTGAACTCTCAACCTCAAGTGATCTGCCCGCCTCGGTCTCCCAAAGTGCTGGGATTATAGGCATGGGCCACCGTGCCTGGCCAATCACCCATATTTTTTGAGTAAATGCTTTAGTACTTAGCCTGTGTTCTCTTTGTTGTCCTTTTGCACAAATGATTTTGTCTCTTTCTACCCTTTCAAGATGGTGAAAATAGGTGTTGTCACTTAAAAGTTTAGGGACTATTTCTTGGGAATATTTCTGGGGACTGTCATATCCTGTGTGATCTTGAGGTCCTTTGTGGGTGACACATGGCTTGCTTCCACCACTGCTGTCTGGGCTGGGGGCCTGGCCTGCATGTCTTCAAAGCTGGTCCCAGCATGCCCTTCCTCTTTTGGAGACCCCAACGTCTGACCAGAGTTTGAACGACACATGGGGAAGAAGTTAAATTCAATTCATGTTTTCTTAGCGTGACCCCACAGCCAGAAGTCACAGAGGAAAAGATAGATATGGAAAAAATACCCCAGATATATGATAGAGAAAAATTTGCAATGTATAGGACAGTAAATAAATGAATATACCTAGTTTATTTTTACTGGTAAAACAATAAAAAGAAACCTAAATAGAAAAGTGGGCAAAAAACCTAAGTAGGCATTTCACAAAAGATGAAATACAAATAGCCAGTAAGCATGTGACGAGGTGTTTATTTGGTAACTAAAGAAATGCAAATTAGAACAACCATGAGACATCATTTAAAAATATTTTGGATTAGTGGGAAAAAAAAGAAACAAAACCAAGCCAAAACAAAACAAAACAAATATTTTGGATAGGTCAGGTGCAGTGGCTCACACCTGTAATCCCAGCACTTTTGGAGCCAAGGCTGGTGGATCATCGAGGTCAAGAGTTCAAGGACCAGCCTGGACAAGATGGTGAAACCCGTCTCTACTAAAATGCAAAAATTAACCAGGCATGGTAGCACACCCCTGTAATCCCAGCTACTCTGGAGGCTGAGGTGAGAAATTGCTTGAACCTGGGAGGTGGAGGCTGCAGCGAGCTGAGATCTGTGCCAATGCACTCCAGCCTGGGTGACAGCAAGACTTCCTCTCAAAAAAAAAAATATATGTATATATATAAAAAAAATATATAATTTATAATATGTATTATATAAAAATATATAATATTTATTATATATATTTTTGGATTAGCAAAGTTTGAAAGATTAATTCCAGTTTGGTGAGAGTGGAAGAGGCATTGCTTTTCTGTTGGGATAGAAATTGTATGGCTGGCACAGAAGCCCAGATTGATAATCCAGCCTCTGTTAAAAGTAAAGGTGTCCAGAACTGGGTGCGCGGGCTCAAATCTGGTAATCCTAGCACTTTGGAGTCGAGACGGGCAGATCACGAGGTCAGGAGATCGAGACCATCCTGGGTAACAACTGGTGAAACCGTCTCCGCTGATGAAATAACAAAAATTAGCCGGCGGTGGTGGCGGGCACCTGTAGTCCCACGCTACTCGGGAGGCTGAGGCAGGAGAAAGGCATGAACCCGGGAGGCGGAGCTTGCAGTGAGCCCGAGAATTCGCGCCATTGTACTCCAGCCTGGCGATGGAGTGAGACTCCATCTCAAAAAAAAAAAAAGTAAAGGGGCCCCCCCCCCAAGTTTCACGTCTTGGAATTGATTCTAAGAAGACAGTCAGACAAAGATGTAAGTGCAAGCATTTTTATTCTTCGCAAATCGTTGATAACAGTTGCTTAAAAAAACAAAGGGCCAGCCATGGTATGTGAAGCCTGCAGTCCCAGCACTTAGGGAGGCAGAGGCAGGAGGATTGCTTGAACCCCAGAGTGATTGCACCACTGCACTCTAGCCTGGGAGACAGAGCTGTCATGTGGCAATTAGCAATAATAATAGATACTTATATTTATTGACCTGAAAAGGTTATTGTTAAATGGATAGTGCAGGTTACAAAGCAGCATGTGTAGGATGTTTCCAGTTTTGTAGATCTGCTGTATCTTTTTGTATATGTGCGCAGAAAGCTTTGGAATTATAGATAATAACGTGTTAATAATGATTATGTTCAGGATTTAAAATTTCAGTTATTCATTATGGGGACATAATGTAATAGTCTTTATTTCTCTGTAGCTGAACTCATTTTGGCTCATGAGCCCTCAAAACATATTCTTTCCATTTCGGAATAACTCGTTCCCTTCTTAGTACTCAGCCTCTCTTGGCTGACTCACCACTGAATCCTCCTTCCCCTTTCCCTGAGAATGATTTACAGATTGCCCTGTGGTGAGAGGAGGCATTGGGGACTAAGCATTCCCTGGCCGTCCAGGTTTCTCTGGAGTGTCTCTCGTCTTGCCTGATCATCATCTTCTTGTGCCATCATTGCTACACATCTGATTTCTGCTCATCTCAAGATCCACTAAATCTGTCACAGATTCATCCCCAGCCATGGGCTCTTACGGGCGCACCATCTTGTCTAGAGCCAATTCTGACTGCCTGTAGGTCTGTGGGTTGAGGTTGCTCTTCTGCAGCCACATCATGTTGGGGACACTCTCTGTGAGGCAGACCTCAGGCCAGCTGCCTAGCTCCATCCCTCAGGCTAGCGTCCTCACCCTTTCTGATGTCCTGTGAGAGGCAGGCTTCTCTTAGAAGCCCACACCCTGGAAAGTGAAGAATAAGTCCCCTCCTCTTGGGCTACTCCTGGGCTACTCCCCTCCTGGGACTTCTCTTCCCCTGCCTTCCTAAGGGCAGGGGTGCAGCATGTTGGACACTTCTCAGGGACCCTAGGAGTCTCAAGTGTAGCCACTTCCTGTCAATTCTGTCCTCCTACCAGCCGGTCAACTCTTTTTAAAAATTATTTATTTGTTTTTGAAATAGGATCTCTCTGTGTCGCCCAGGGTGGAGTGCAGTGGCATCATCACGGCTCACTGCAGCCTCGACCTCCTGGATTCAAGCAATCCTCCCACCTCAGCCTCCTGAATAGCTGGGACCACAGACACATGCGATCACGCCCAGCTAATTTTTGTATCTTTTATTTTTTTTCTTCTTTTATACTGAGTTTTACTCTTGTTGCCCAGGCTGGAGTGCAGTGGTGCAATCCCCGCTCACTGCAACCTCTGCCTCCCAGACTCAAGCAATCCTCCCACCTCAGCCTACTGAGTAGATGGAACTACAGTTGTGCCACCATCCCCCCGGGCTAATTTTTGTATTTTTTAGTAGAGGCGGGGTTTCACCGTGTTGGCCAGGAAGGTCTAGATCTCTTGGCCTCGTGATCCACCCACCTCAGCCTCCCAAAGTGCTGGGATTACAGGTGTGAGTCACCGTGCCCAGCCAAATTTTTGTATTTTTTATAGAGATGGGGTTTTGCCATGTTGCCCAGGCTGGTCTTGAACTCCTGGACTCAAGTGATCCTCCTACCTCAGCCTCCCAAAATCTGTTGACTCTTGACCTCCTTTTGAGTGAAGCCTCCTTTTTCACTATCAGGCACTCATTCCCACTCCTGTTTTTGGGATAAACTATTAATGCCTCCCCTTCTTCAAAGATTGGCTCTTCATTGTCCCAATCAAGCTTTTTAATTTTTATTTTTTAATTTAATTTTAATTTTAATTTTTAATTTAAAACATCCTTTTCTCTCAGAGAGTTGGATTTTATAATTGAAACAATGGCATTAAAGGCAGTAGTTAGCTATAGGTTTATAAATGTCTACTTAAAAGTTAAAATCCAGGAGCCAATGAGTTGTGTGTCTCATCCCTAGCCCAAGAGCAGGCTGCATAGACAGCTCTTCCTGGTGCTTGAACCGTGGAGGCTTGGAGCCAGAGGCTGCGGGGAGAGGACTGAAAAAGCCCCAAGCTCAGTGTCAAAATACACACCCTGCAATAGCTCTTTCCTGGGCTTGGTGGGATTGTGGGTGTCACGCGCGTCCCTGTGAAGAGAACACCAAACAGGCTTTGTGTGAACAATAAAGCTTTTTTTTTTTTTTTGAGACAGCCTCACTCTGTAGCCCAGGCTGGAGTGTAGTGGCATGATCTTGCCTCACTTCAAGCTCCGCCTCCCAGGTTCACGCCATTCTCCTGCCTCAGCCTCCCGAGTAGCTGGGACTACAGGCGCCTGCCACCATGCCTGGCTTATTTTTTGTATTTTTAGTAGAGACAGGGTTTCACCGTGTTAGCCAGGATGGTCTCGATCTCCTGACCTCATGATCCACCTGCTTTGGCCTACCAAAGTGCTGGGATTACAGGTGTGAGCCATCGCACCCAGCCTGCAATAAAGCTATTTAATCACCTGGGTGCAGGTGGGCTGAGTCCAAAAAGAGAGTCAGCAAAGGGTGGTGGGATTATCATTAGTTCTTATAGGTTTGGGATAGGCGGTGGAATTAGGAGCAGTTTTTTGTGGGCAGGGGGTGGATCTTACAAAGTACATTCTCAAGGGCGGAGAGAATATTACAAAGTACCTTCTTAAGTGTGGGGAGGGTATATAGTACAAAGTACATTCGCAAGGGTGGGGGAATATCACAAAGTTCATTATTTCAAGGGTGGGGAGGGTATATTGTCACAAAGTCAACTGATCAGTTAGGGTGGAGCGGGAACAAATCACAATGGTGGAATGTCATCAGTTAAGGCAGGAACTGGCTATTTTCACTTCTTTTGTGGATCTTCAGTTGCTTCAAGCCATCTGGATGTATAGTGCAGGGCATAGGGGATATGATGGCTTAGCTTGGGCTCAGAGGCCTGACAGTGGATAATTTCCACTCTCTTTTTGTCTGTAGTTTCTGAATTTCTTACAAGAAACATGTATAAGAAATATGACAAAAGTTATTTTATAAATAAAGGGACACTTTGAGGCATTTCAGTCTTTAAAAAAGCTAAGGCTTATTTGGGTTTTTGTTTATTTTTAGATTTTTGGTGTCCTCACGACCTCACCTCATCCCATTGAGTAGAGACTGGGAGGGGAGAGCAGCAGCTGGAGGGCAGGCTGGGAGCCCTTGTGAGCAAGAGGAGCTGTGGACACCTGCTTCTCTGCCAAGGGAGAGAGTGAGGTAGGCCCGGGCCCGCTGACTTCAGGGTGAGGCCACAGCTACTGCAGCACTTTTTATGTATTTATTTACTGAGATGGAATCTTGCTCTGTCACCCAGGCTGGAGTGCAATGGTGTGATCTCGGCTCACTGCAACCTCCGCCTCCTGGGCTCCAGTGATTCTCCTGCGCTCAAACGATTCTCCTGCCTCAGCCTTCTGAGTAGCTGGGATTACAGGCACGCGCCACCACACCCGGCTAATTTTTTGTATTTCTAGTAGAAACGGGGTTTCACCATGTTGACGAGGCTGGTCTTGAACTCCTGACCTCAAGTGATCCTCCTGCCTCGGCCTCCTAAGGTGCTGGGATTACAGGTGTGAGCCACCATGTCCGGCCATACTGCAGCACTTTAAAGGACGGTGTCTTTTTCTTTCTCATACAAGAGAATAGGACTTTATTAGCATTGGTGCAAGCATTGCATTACACAGGAATGGGTCCCTAGCGTGCACAAACCCAGCTGGGCTTTGAGCAGATAAATCACAGCAGAAATAGAATCGCCCTAGGACTTTCAATCAAAAGCTGGAAGTCCACCTTACAGAAAGACAAAAAGAAAACCCCTTTTTATATCTTAATAAAGCGACAGCTCTCAAGCAGCAGAGCATCTCGAGGAAGAAAGCTTGCCCGGTCGCCATCTCATCATGCCGGAGTGTGCAGTGTCCACCCTCGACCACGCTGGGGAGTTGCTGATTTTTTGAAAAAGCTTAACTTAACAATTTCTGATGTCTATCTTTTAGAGTTCTATATGTTCCCATTTTTTATTCTTCCGAATTTTGAATTACAAATAGCTGTAAAAGCCAGTCTTTGAGTGCATGGGGGTGGGTGTGAGGCAGGGCCCAGCTTCTACTCCCTGTCCTGTGGAGCAGTGGCTGGTTTCTCCTGAGCCCAGCCCTGGGAGGTTGTGGTAGGCGTGGAGGCTGCAGAGCTCCTCCAGATGCTGCCCTTGCTGTGCCTCACACCAGAGAGGATGGAAGTGGCTCTGGCGTCGGACTGTGTTGAGCTGAGACAGACAAGGCTGACACAGGGCTGGGGGCCCGTGGTCCACCAGTGGAAGTGACTCCCGAGGAAGGGCGGCGAGGAGGGTGGTGTGGGATCTGAGGCTTCTTTTCAGTGTGGCAGCTGTCGAGGGCCAGGGAGCAGGGGGAAGAGCCTGGTCACCATGGTCCCAGAACCCGTCTCACTTGGCTCTTCCTTTGCAGCTGAGGAGGATGAGGACCAGAGAGGGACTGTGCGTGTGTCCTGCCTGGGGACCCACAGCCAGGTGATAGCAGAGTTGGGTTTGAAGCCCAGGCCTCCCATGCCAACCCAATGGTCTTGCTGTTTCAGCAGGGAAGGCCGGGAGCCTGGGAGCTGGGAAAAGGTGACTGCCCGGCTCCTGGTGACTCCCCACCCCCAGGTCCCCAGCTGTCATCAGAGGGGCAAGGACACATTTAACTGGTTCCTGTGGGTCAGGTCTGAGTGGGGGAGGACCTCCCCTCCCCACTGCCTCCCACAGGGGCTTGTGATTCAGGGTTTCAGGAACAGGGCTGGCTCCCCCGCCTCAGATGGAAGAAGTGGACTTGGCTGTGAACTCCAGGAAGGCAGGGCTCAGTCATGGCCCTTACCCTAGGATATGGCCTGGCCACAAGCACTCACTACATTTTTTTTTTTTTTTTTGAGACGGAGTCTCGCTCTGTTACCCAGGCTGGAGTGCAGTGGCACGATCTCAGCTCACTGCAACCTCTGCCTCCCAGGTTCAAGCAGTTCTCCTCCTCAGCCTCCCAAGTAGCTGGGATTACAGGTGTGTGCCACCACATCTGGCTAATTTTTTACTTTTTTAGTAGATATGGGGTTTTGTCATGTTGGTAAGGCTGGTCTTGAACTCCTGACCTCAAGTGATCCACTCGCCTCGGTCTCCCAAAGTTCTGGGATTACAGGTGTGAGCCACTTTGCCCGGCAAAGAAATACCTTTTTTTTCTTTTCCTGAAACAGAGTTGTGCTCTGTCGCCTAGGCTGGAGTGCAGTGGCACGATCTCGGCACACTGCAACCTCTGCCTCCCAGGTTCAAGTGATTCTCCTGCCTAAGCGTCCTGAGTAGCTGGGATTACGAGCGCCCACCACCATGCTCAGCTAATTTTTAAAAATATTTTTAGTATAGACGGGGTTTCGCCACGTTGGCCAGGCTAATCTCGAACTCCTGACCTGAGGTGATCCGCCTGCCTCGGCCTCCCAAAGTGCTGGGATTACAGGCGTGAGCTACCATGCCTGGCCTTACATTTTTTAAAATGAGGGAACGAATGAATAAATGACCACCATATTAGGGGCTGGCTCTGAACAGAATTGTAAAGTGGACCAAGCTTGTGCTCAGGGTCACCTTAAGCCCACGGTGGCTGTGTCCTGCCCTCTCAGGGCCATTTCCCAGCCCCCAGGCACCTGTTCACAGAGGCTGCATCTGGCCCTGCCTCCACCCCTCCGTCCTAAAGTGCTCCTCTGACTTAGAACATGACAGTCAGGGAGAGAATGTGCCTCAGGAGGGTGGAGTCAGATGATCACGGCCTTCCTGGCATCTGAGGGGAGATAGCTTTGGTAGCAAAGTGTGATTTTCTCTGAGCCCAGGAAAGCTTGGCCTTGGTCGGAATACATTGAACCCTGAGGGCCATAGAGTCCCTGGGGCAAGCTCTGAGGGGGAGGCCTGGGACAGGGCGGGGCAGGGGGAGGGGAGTGGGGGAAGTGGGTGGGGAGCTGGGGGTTGGGGTTACCAGGGTTCTAGGGGAGGGGAGTGCTGAGGATCCCGGAAAGGGCGTTTTCCTGATGGCGCACCAGAAGCCCTCAGGAGCCTCCAGCTGCGTGGTGAGAGGGAGGATGGAGCAGCCGGCAGGAGTAGCCGCCTCTTCCTGCTTGGGGAGCAGAAGGGCCTCCCATGCCGTGATGGTCAGGACCTGCCCCCTTCTCTCCCCGCAGCTGGGGGCCTGGACTCACCTGGACTCACCTGGACAGCTGAGTTCTCATCAGAGGTCGGGGCTGTGGATACACTGGAGAGGGCTGGACGTGGTCCCACACACCCCGAGAGCCTGTCACAGGGACAGCACCAGGGCTGAGGCCTGGGGCCCCTCGGCTCCCCACACTCAGCTGTTCCGGAAAAGAACAGCACTCACGCCACCTCCCGCCTAGCGGGTGCTCCCAGTGTGATTCTGGAGACCCCTCGGGTCACTCCCTGAGCCACAGGCCTTAGGGTTTAGAGCCTGAGGAGGTGAGATTTTAACTCCAGAACATCTACTTTGTACCCCTACCCCACCAGCACACACTGGCCAGGGAACACAACCCCATCCCATAGTGGACATCCAGCCGCACTCCTCAGGCCGTCCCTCCCTTCCCATCCCCCTTTTCCATACTGTCATGATTTTCTACATGGAAACAGTGAGGGGTGCCTCCCAGTCTCTGGCCTATGCACCTGGGACCACCTTGGACCCAGGGGAGTAGGGCCTCTGAGGATCACAGGCCCAAAGGGTGGGGGTTCTGGGAGCCGAGGGAAGTCCTAGGACCAACTGGGAGGGGTGGATGTACCTGGCAGGTGGTGTGGGCATCCCAGTCCCTGGACACCAGGGTCAGCAGCTGGGGCGTGTGCTGAGCCACAAATTGCTTGCACTGAGGAAGGAGACACATAGCTGTGGAGGGGACCCGGGCCCTTTGCAGGACTCTCCTGTCGTGTGGTCCTGGCCTCTCCACTTCTCTGGATCACTTTAGGGCTCCCTTCTGACTCCTCCATCAGCCCTCACTGAACAGCTCTGGCTGCAGTTAAAACCCTTAACAAACCGGAGCTGACTGAAATGGAGGACTTCCATCAGAAAAGCAGGCGATGCTGGAGACGGAGGACTGAGGCAGAGGGGTGGAATCTCAGCCACCACCCTCCCCTCCCTCCACCTCCATTTCAGTTCTAGAAGGAACCTTAATGTTCATCTGGTCCTTGATACCAGACGTGATGGGCAGCGGGGAGGCTTGGGAGTTGCTGAGCAGGGAGCACAGTGTGGACAGCTGCCTCCTAGGAAGAGCATCAACTGGCTTGCCTGAGAACAGGATCTTGCTTTAAGAAGGGAATTTCCTGTCTGGGTGCAGTGGCTCACGCCTGTAAACCCAGCACTTTGGGAGGCCAAGGCGGGCAGATCACTTGAGGTCAAGAGTTCGAGAGCAGCCTGACCAATAAGGTGAAACCTTGTCTCTACCAAAAATACAAAAATTAGCCGAGCATGATAGCACGTGCCTGTGATCCCAGCTACTTGAGAGGCTGAGGCAGGAGAATCTCTTGAACCCAGAGGCAGAGGTTGCAGTGAGCCAAGATTGCGCCATTGCACTCCAGCCTGGGCAACAAGAACAAAACTCCGTCTCAAAAAAAAAAAAAAAAGCAGGGGATTTCCTGTCATTGACTGAGTATTGGCAGGGGCCCTAGGACCTTCAAGCCCAACCCTCTCCTTTTGCAGATGGGTTTGTCCTGAGTGAGTTAAACCTTGAGGAGTGTGGGAGCAGTAATGGGATCAGGACCCTGGAGAGAAGGCCAGTCCCTTTCCTGGCTCGAGCTGGCCCTGGCATTACTCATTTCCTAGTAGATAACCAGGCCTCTGAAGGCTTGCCTGGTGCTCACTCAGCCCGTGAAGGGGGCCTGCTGGTCTCTGGAGCCCACAGCCCTTTGTCCAGAGGCGACTCCTAACCCTTAACAGGCTCTGCCCTAACTTACAGTCCCACCATTGTCTGCCCTACATCCTGCCTGCCTGTCTGCACTCCATTCTCGCCCATCCTATGTGTCTCTGGCTGCAAAGCCTTTCCTGGGCTCAGGCTTCCACCTTGAACAGGCGCTGACCACAAGTCCCCATGTGCCTGCCCTGTACCTTTTCCCTGTCCAGCCAAGAGCTGACACAGGCCTGGAGCAGTGCCTGTGGTATGGCCTGCTCGCTGCTGTTCCTGGCCTGGGTGGTCACAGACATGCAGAGGCGGCACTCAGAGTCTTGCGGCAGCCATTCTCCTGTGGGCGACCCCAGAGACGTGAGTGTTAGGGGGAAAGCAGGCAAGGCCACCCTGAAGAGGCGTTTGGTTTCTGTCCTTGGTGCATTGCAGTGGGACCAGAGAGGGAGAGCATCATGCAGGGGCAGGGTAGGGGGAGGAGGAGAGCAGGCTTTGGGCTAAGGAGGGGGCAGTGGGTTCACCTGGGCCAGCGCTGTCATCCATGGAGCACCGGAGGACGAGGCCGCAGACCAGCTGGGGCAGCATGCGGCCCAGCAGCATGTCGAGCAGGATGACAGAGTAGCGTTCAGCCAGGCACTGGCAGATGCCACCTGCCACCAGGGGTACCACGCGGCACACCTGGGCCACTGCCACAGCTAGCACACCCTGGGGTGGGGGTGGAGAGAAGCCAGCATGGGGTCTTCACTTGGCAAGCCTCCACTCTCTGCCCAGCACCCAGCTAGGCACTTCCTACACATTCCCTCATTCTCTTCTAGAAGGGAGGGCAAGGCTATTCACAAATAAGGACACTGGGGATCAGAGAGTCCAAGGGATGCAGGGGACTCACACAGGGTTGCTGAGTGTAGGAGCCAGCTTCAGACCTACGTCTGGTCCCAAAGGCTGTGGCCCACAGCTAGTGACTCTCAGACTGATATGCTGGACCTGACTTTCCCCCAGGCTTGAGATTCAGCTGCTTGCCTGACTCTCCTCTCCTGCACTTTACACAGGCATCTTGAACTCAACATGGCCAGGAGGGAGCTCTTTTTTCCTACTCAAACCCGTTTCTTGTTGAGTCTCCCCATCTCAGCTGCTGGTATTACAGAGGGTTGGTTGCTCTGGCCAGTCTGTAAAAGTCACTGTGGAGTCCTCCCTGGTCCTCACACTCTAGCATCCATGCCCAAGTGCAGCGGGCCCACCTCCCAAATGCGTCCCCAGACCAGCCCTCAGCTCCGTCCCTGTCCCATCACCTCTCACTGTGATCTCTGCAGTGATCTTTCTTTTTTTCTTTTTTCTTTTTTTTTTGAGACAGAGTCTTGCTCTGTCACCCAGGCTGGAGTGCAGTGGTGCAATCTTGGCTCACTGCAACTTCAGCCTCCTGGGTTCAAGTGATTCTCCTGCCTCAGCCTCCCGAGTAGCTGGAACTACAGGCACCCGCCACCACATCTGGCTAATTTTTGTATTTTTAGTAGAGACGGGGTTTTGCCATGTTGCTCGAGCTGGTCTCCTGGGCTCACATGAACCACCTGCCTCAGCAGGAACCTCACCTGCTGCCTTGAGTCCGCAGTGGCCCATGCGACCCCATCTGGGAAAGGCTGAGAGGGGAGGGCCTTTCCTCATTTGGGCCCCATTTTGGGGCAAGGTAGCCCTGGGCTGGTGGGGCCATTGGACAACAGCTACTGCGGGTCTGGAAGACTCCAAACTGGACTCAGGCAGGGATGGGGAATCTATCTGTGGAAATTTCCCTCTTGAAAGATCAAAGCAACTTTTCTACAGGGACCTCTGGGGATCCTTCTCCATCAGTTGGTGAGCTGCTGGAGGACAAAGCTGCATCTTGTCCATTTTTGTACTTTGGCACCTGGTGTGGCACCTCCATACAGGGGGGGCTTAATGTTTGTTGCATGAACTGTAGGCCTGGTACCTACCAGGCCTGAGCCTGAGCCCCAGGGTCCCTGGGTGGGGGCAATGCACAAACGGTTCTCTCCCCTCCTAACTTCTGGCAGCCAGCTGGGCCCTGATGGGGGTGTGAGTTGGGAGGGAGGTGGGAGCTGCAGGGGACCCTCCTGGGCTCTGTGTGGCCTTGGATGCCTCACCTTGGGAATCATGGCTTGGATCCGCTTGATCAGAGCCTTGCAGAGCCAGCAGTAGGGGAGAGGAATGGGGAATTGCTGCTCAGAGAGATCCTGGGGAGAGAATCCGGTGGAGGCCAGGCTGGGTGCTGGGAGAAGAGTCCTCCTGGCTCTCCTCCCCTCCCTTTCTCTCCCTCCTCCCTTAGGCCCTGCCTGGAGCTTCCCGTCACCTTCCCGGCTCTGCCTCTTCCAGGGCCCAGTGCTCATGGGCTTCAGAGGTGGCTCTAGCCCTCCGGATCCCCACTTAACTGGCTGTGGGGGCCTCCCTCACCTGTGTGTGAGGCCCAGGCCTCACCTGGAGGGCCCCGGGCAGCACGGGGAGGACCAGCTTGTCCGGCAGAGGGTCTGGCAGAGGGTCCCACAGAGGTTCGGGCAGGGGGTCTGACATCCCTGACTCCTGTTCTGGCTCTGGCTGCCGGGATTTGCACAGGCCCAGGTGCATACAGATGCCCTTTGAGCCCTGGGGCACAGCACAGGGTGGGAGTGTTAGGCTATGGGAGGGAAGCCCACCCCTGTTCATGCTGGCCCAAGGGCTCAGGGACCAGGACCACTGGAATGGGAGGAAACAGGCCTAGTGGGGGTGCTGTGCTTTAGAACTCTATGTGGGGGGACAAAAGGCAAAGATGGGGCTGTGTGGGGACTTTAAGGGAGGTGGCCGGGATTGCATGTGAATGAGCATGAGCATATATGTGAGCATGAGTAAGTGTGTAAGCATGTGTGTGAGAGTGAGAGTGTAAGGGTGTGTGAGCGTGCAAGCCCACCTATGAACCTGAACCTGGGAGGCTGTGGTCGGGTGCATGGCTGAAGGGCACTTAGTTTCCTGGGCCCTTTGTGGGCAGAGTGTGTGTGTGTGTGTGTGTGTGTGACCAGCTGGGGTGCTGTGTGTGTGCTGTGTGTGTGTATGTGTCTGACTGGCTGGGGTGCTGTGTGTGTGTATGTGTCTGGATGGGGTGCTGTGTGTGTGTGTCCACCCGGCTGGGGTGCTATGTGTATAACTCCCCATGGGTTGGGCACAGGGGCCTGTGTGGGGAGGCAGGCAGGAGGTGAGCTTGCAGCCCTCACAATCTGGTTCTGGAAGTAGTCGATGACCAGGGGGAAGTAGTCGTCGAGTACTTGGTTGCACTGGGGCATGAACAGCTTCAAGGGGAGGACGTTGCACTCCTGCTCCAGAAACTTCCGCATCGTGTCCTGGGAGGCCAGAGCGAGCTGTCAGCTGGGCCTCTCTGAGGTCTATGCCACCCAAGTCCCTGGACACAAGGCCCCACCAGGGCAGACCTACCCCTATTCCCCCAGGGCACTGGAGTTCAAGAGTTTCATGGAGTTAAGTAGTTGGGCACATGTAGGGGCCCTTCCCCTCAGGAAGGACCATCTCTGGCTGTGCTGTTGAGCTCAGGGCCAGGACCTACTCCCAGCCAGGAGGAGCTGGGAGTTCTCAGGCACCCAGGCCTCCTCCTCAGCCTGGAAATGGCCCCTTTAGGGGGCTCACCTCTTCCCTGCTCTGTCCCTCATCTCTTGGGCCCCAACCTTCATCCAGGATCTGGGCCTCATTACCTGGAAAATGGCCTCCTTGGCCATCTTGTTAAGGATGTGGACGATGTCCTCACACTCTTGGCATAGGTCATCCTGGGGAGGGAGGGGGCCCCCAGGTGGAGGACACATGAGTGGGGAGTAGGCTCCCAGCTCCAATGGGGAGGCTCTCTCAGGCAGAGGCCAACAGAGCACTCCAAGGCACCAGCGGCTGCCCACCAGCCCATCTTGTCCCAACTCATCCATTCCATTTTATTCATCCCATCCCATCCATCTCTTCTATTCATCCATCCCAATCCATCCATTGTTATTCTGTCATCCCATCCCATCCCATCCCATCCCATTCATCCGACTCCATCTATTCTATGTCATCGTATCCCATCACATCCATCCCATTCCATTTCATCCTGTCTCATTTCATCTCATCCCATTCCATCTCAACCATCCCTTATGGGGGCTCCACTCCCCTCCTGCCCATTCAGAGCCCACCCAGCACCCTTCATCTCAGATCCCCAGTTGTTGTGCATCCTTGGTGGTACTCACGGCTCCCACATGTCCCCAGACTTCTTGTAAGCAGTGCCCTAGGGCTCTGCACTGCAATGCTTGCTCCAGGCTTTGGCACCAGAACTCAGGGCCCTGGGCACAGGCCAAGGATGAGGTGGTCCAGGCAGCTGCGGTTCGGGGCCAGACCTTAGTCAGGATCCAGGCTACATACCTGGCATCCTGATTTCACCCAATCTCTAGACCCAATTTTGCTGGGAGTGCGAGGCCATTAAACATGTGGGTGTCAGACAGCTCTGGGTTCCACCTGCTCCTGGACCCACCAGCTGTGTGACCTTGGATAAGCTCTGAACCCTCTCTGTGCCCCAGCTGCCTTGTCTTTAAAATGAGGACAGACTTGGGATAATGCCTAGCACAGAGCAGTGCTCAGTGAGTGGTGGAGCTGCCTAGGACAGGGGAGGCTGGGGCAGACTCACCAGTGCCTGGGCCACAGAGCGTGGGCAGCAGCAGCAGCAGCCACTGCAGCAGGTGTGACTTGGCCATGGTACCTCTGCAGCCTGGATACCCTGCTTGGGGCATGGCCCCTTATAGCTGGGCGGGGCATAGGGGCTCTGTGGGAGTGGCAGCGACCTCAGTGTTTGTCTTTGCTCTGGAGAGCCCTTCAGGTGCTTGATCCCACCTTTTCCCAGCAGGGACACTCCTGCCTGCCTTACCACCTGTCCTGGCTGATGGCCTGTTCCTGCTTCCTTTGCTCCCTGCCCGGACTCCCATGTTGCTGGACTTGTGGCTTCCTCCAACCAGGGGCTTTCAAGCCTCCATACCTGGTCTCACCTCTCCAGGCCGTGGGAGGGAAGCTGAGGAGGGTGGGGGGCATCTGGTTGGGGGCAGCCTTGGTGTTCCCCTCCCATCCCCTCCCGGGGCCTCTGGGGCCCCCTCTACTCTTGAGCAATGCTCTTGAGAGCTTCCTGCCTGGCTCTTAACCCAGGCTCTTAACCCCTGGAAGGGCAGACCTAGGACACTCTCACCTCCTCCTTACCTTTGCCTCTGGAAAAATCTTCTGGTTCTATGGACATAAGATTTGCGTTAGTCAGAAGAACATTTACATAAAACAGAAAACAAAATACCCTGAGTCAGAGACAAGATTTCTGTGCCCCTGGAGTGGCTCCCAGACAGCCCTATACAGGAAGTACTGCTCATGGACCCTGGGGACTCCTTCAGGGTAGGGGCTGGGGCATAGCTGCGATGGTTCAGCAGAAAGAAACTGTCCTCTGCAGCTGCAGGGGCTCTCAGGCAGGGCCCCCACTGGCAGAGCATACTGGAGAAAAAGCTCACAGGCTGAGGGAGACAGAGGATATCTTCAGTGGAAGAAAGAGAAAGTTAGCACATTGCTATCACCCCAGCTGTTGTGATCAGTTTATCTGATCTCTGCAGGAACCCTCTCCCTAGTGGAGGCTCACAGGCCCCTATACTCAGAAGCACTACAGTGCTCTTGGGGGTGGACAGGGCAGGAATTCGTACCATGATGAAAAGAGTTGGGGCTGGGCATGGTGACTCACTTCTGTAATCCTGGCACTTTGGGAGGCTGAGGAGGGAGGATCCTTTGAGCCCAGGAATTTGAGACCAGACTGGCCAATATAGTGAGACTCCATCATTACAAAAAAAATTTAAAAATTAGCCAGGTGTGGTGATGCATGTCTCTGGTCCCAGCTACTCAGAAAGCTGAGGGAGGAGGATCGCTTGAGCCCACTAGGTCACGGCTGCAGTGAGCCATGATTACACCACTGCACTCCAGTCTGGGAGTGCGAGGCCATTAAACATGTGACTGAGCTGAGGGTGTCCTGGCTCCTGGTCCCTGGGATGCGCGGTCCCCCGGCACAATGTTGGCCAAGTAACAGAGACTCTGTCTCAAAAAAAAAAACAAACAAAAAAAGGAATTGGATACAAGGTGGCTATTGACACACTCAAGGTTACCCAAGGATTATGTAGTTTCTGTTGGCCTCAAGCGCTTGTCAGTACAACAAACACAGCTGCCATCATGGGAGTCCACCAAGACTGTGTAAAAATGTGTAACCAAAGATTGGGAACTGAGTGACCTTGGTAGAACCTCAGGAAGGTGGAACTGAAACATGCGTGTTATTCAGTATGTGTTTAAAAAATGAGTGAGTGGTATCTGGTTTGGATACAATCAGGACAGGCTGCGCAAGAGAATGGGGATTTGTGGCTGGCTGCCTCCAGGGGTGTATTCGTCAGGGTGGTCCCACTACCATAACAGAGAGCCCTCCAGTCTATTGGCTCCTGCATGTTTCTTTTCCTTTTTTTCTTTCCTTTTTTTTTTTTTTTTTGACACGGGGTCTCAGTCTGGCACCCAGGCTGGAGTGCAGTGGCGCGATCTTGGCTCACTGCAACCTCCGCCTCCCAGGCTCAGGTGATCCTCCCACCTCAGTCTCCAGAGTAGCTAAGACCACAGGCGTGTGCCACCACGTCCGGCTAATTTTTTCTCTGATATTTTTGGTAGAGACAGGGTTTTGCCATATTGTCCAGGCTCGTCTTGAACTCCTGAGCTCAGGCGATCCACCTGCCTCAGCCTCCCAAAGTGCTAGGATTACAGGCATAAGTCACTGTGCCCGGCCACATGTTTCCTTCTTTTTGTTTTTGTTTCTTTTGTTTTTTTTTTGAGATAGAGTCTCACTCTGTCGCCCAGGCTGGAGTGCAGTGGTACGATCTTGGCTTCCTGCAACCTCCGCCTCCCGGGTTCAAGCGATTCTCCTGCCTCAGCCTCCCGAGTAGCTGAGGAGTACAGACACCCATGATGACGCCCAGCGAATTTTTGTATTTTTTTAGTAGAGATGAGGTTTCACCATGTTGACCAGATCGGTCAAAACCATACCTCACACCCTTTAGGACGGCTATTATGAAAAAACAGAAAATAATATGTGTTGAGAGGATGCGGAGAAACTGGAACCCTAGGTGCTTTGCTACTGAGAATGTGAAATGGTGCAGTCACCGTGGAAACCCATGTGGAAACCCATGTGGAAAAGACTTTCTACAAAACAGTTTCTGAAAAGTTTGAATATTGAATTACCTTCAGACCCAGCAATTCCATTCCTACATATGTATTTTGAAGAGAATGGAAAACAGGTACTGGAACAGATATTTGTATGTCAATTTTCATCGCAGCATTATTCATAATAGCCAAAAGGTAGAAACAACTCAAGTGTTCATCCACAGACGAATGGGTAAACACACTCAAAGGAATATTATTGAGCCTTTTTAGGAAGGAAATTCATCTGGGGGCAGTGACTCACACCTGTAATCCCAGGACTTTGGGAGGCCAAGGTGGGCAGATCACGAGGTCAGGAGTTCGAGACCAGCCTTACCAACATGGTGAAATCCCATCCCTACTAAAAATACAAAAATTAGCCAGGTGTGGTGGTGCATGCCTGTAATCCCAGCTACTCGGGAGGCTGAGGCTGGAGAATCGCTTGAACCTGGGAGGCGGAGGTTGCAGGGAACTGAGATTGCGCCACTGCACTCCAGCCTGGGCAAGAGAGCAATACTCTCTCTGGGGGGGTGGGGAGAGGGAAAAAAAGGAAAGAAATTTGGACACATGCTACAACATGGATGAATCTTGAAAACATGATGCTCAGTGAAATAATCCAGTTACAAAAGGACAAATATTGTGTGATTCCCTTTATAGGAAGTATGCAGAGTAGTCAAACTCGTAGGGACAGAAAGTAGGTCAGAGGTTACCAGGGGCTGGGGAAGAGGGAACAGGGAGGTATTGGCTAATGGAAACAGGGTTTCTACTTGGGATGATGAAAAGTTCTGGAGATGAACGGTGGTTTTGGTTGCATAATGTGGGGGTGTGCTTGATGTTCCTGAGCTGCACACTTAAAAATGGTTAAGACAGTATTATGTTATCTATAGTTGTATATTTCATCACAATTGAAAAAGAAAGGGGAGGAGAGAGAAATAAGCCAGGCTGTGGATGGAGAAGAGTCTTGTTTTTCTTCTTGACTGTGGAAAATGTGAGGCTGTCAAGTGTGGGACTTGAGACACCTGGGGCTGGGGCAAAAGAGATCAGCCAAATGGGACAGCTGGTATTAAAATCTCTGTTATGTCCTTGCAGAGATGCACGGAAGAGCAGATTCATTTTAGTTCCTTTTGTTGTATTTTGGGCTGCATTCTTCTGACACTACTCGGGGCCTGAGCCTAAGGGCCCATGACTTTCCTCCCCTCTCCTATCCCCACTCTTCACAGTTGAATTTATTTGAGTGTAATTTCTATTTCTGGGGTAGAACCAACCCATGAGAAATACAAGGCCAGTGCCCTCGGGAGGCCTCATGGTAGCAGCCTTTCCTAGCATAGCCCTATCTTATGTCTTACTTTCTTTCAAAAGAAGGAATTTCTCCATGGGAAGGGGTAGGGAGGTAGGGCCCTTGGCAATGAAACTTGCAGTTTTGGCTGGGCGCGGTGGCTCACGCCTGTAATCCCAGCACTTTGGGAGGCCGAGGTGGGCGGATCACAAGGTCAGGAGATCGAGACCACGGTGAAACCCCGTCTCTACTAAAAATACAAAAAATTAGCCGGGCGCGGTGGCAGGCGCCTGTAGTCCCAGCTACTCAGGAGGCTGAGGCAGGAGAATGGCGTGAACCCGGGAGGCGGAGCTTGCAGTGAGCCGAGATCGCGCCACTGCACTCCAGCCTGGGCGACAGAGCGAGACTCCGTCTCAAAAAAAAAAAAAAAACAAAAAACGAAACTTACAGTTTCACAATTCATTCGTTTGACCAAAAAATGGTTAATGAGCTAGGAGTTGGGATGACAACGGTCACTGCCCTGGTGGACTTAATATCTATGGGGTGGGGGCACAGACCAGTAATCAGAGTGGAATACTACCCAGGCCTGGAGAAGGAGGGGAGACTCTGGGGGAGCTGGGGCAGCTAAGGGGAGACTTGGGGAGATGTAGAAATTGGTGCGGTCAAATGGTGGGGTGGGATTGATTGAGGAGGAATTCCAGGCAGATAAATAGTTCATGCAAAGGCCTAGGAAAAGAGAGAGCATGGGGCTGGTACAGGGAGCGTTCACCACTCTGCACCACAAATAGAGGTTCAGAGTGTTGGGGAGCTTGGTAGAGAGTGACAGCCAAACCCACATCTCCTGCTCCCTGGTCTGTATCTGAGCAGCCCGAATAGCTTTGGCCCTGAACATCTCTGGGGACTGGGATCACCTCTTTTCCTCCCTCTGTCTCCCCAAGCTCAGCTGGATTCTATTAAGAACAGCTGGTGGGAGGAACTGGCAATGTTGACATTGACCTTCCTTGAATTCCCTTTTCTTTATGCTGCTGTTGTGGGCTGAATTGTGTCCTCTAAAAGATATGTTGATGTCCTAACCCCTGGCGTCTGTGACTGTGACCTTATTTGAAATAGAGCCTTTGCAGGTGTAATCTATTTAAGATGTGGTCATTAGGGTGGGCCCTAATCCAATGACTGGTGTCCTTAAAAGAAACGGAGATTGGGGCACAGAGGGAGTGCCATGTGACTATGGAGGCAGAGATTGGAGTGATGCAGCTGCAAGCCCAGAAACACTAGGGATTG